CTCCTAGTTTGCGGCCGTAAACTCCTTGTGATGGAGTTTCCGGCTCGATTTCAACCCAATGAACTTAAGTTGACACAACCCTACATCCAATCCTTAAATGTACTAGGCTTAAAACCCTCAAACAGACCCCTAACAATGCTAAAAGATAGCAGAAACAAGTCTGACATTTGATTGGATTGATTGACTTTACTGGATAGAAATTTTCGGGTTGTCACAAGTCGCTTGTTATTCGGGGCATGTTAAGCCGCTTGCAGTTGGACTAAATAATCTTAGAGTGGTTGATTGGACCCTGTTGCGCAACTCTCGTTTGAGTCTAACAGTTTCAGGGAGGAATCTCCTACTCGAAGGATTATTTGAGCCTTCTGTCAAGTAAGAGTGTTATGCAGCAGTATAAGGTCAATGATTTTGTTCCTGTGGAAGCATCAAGATAATCAGTATTGGAAGTGCTTTGTTTAGTCTGGTATTCAATGAGGGTTTGGCATGATAGTGGTTCAGTGTGGGTGGTCTGTCGGGAAGTCAGACCAATTTGAGATTTCGGGTTTCAGGAAAGGTAGAGGTGGTTTTCTGCAAGAGTTTAAGGTTCGTTCTTCTTCAGGTTTGGTGAGTTCTGCTATGGTTAATTTCGGTCGCCTTGGGAATGCTGTGGTATTCTCGAGATTGTGGTCGTATTGCTTAGGATGTTGGCGTATTGGGAAATGTAAGGGTTGATTTCGAGGACGAAATCTAATTTAAGTAGCGAAGAGTTGTAACGTTGTGTTTCAAATCGTTACCCATTTGGGCGGGGGTGATGAAATGTAAATGGTTCGGGTATTCAGAATTGGTTTTGGTGCCAAGGGGCATTTTGGTAAATTGGCAGCGGGCCTTTATGGAAATTGGATTTTGTGTTCGAGAAACTTTAAGTCAAGTATGAGTTGATAATAATGTAGGGCTTCTCGATACCTTTTCATTGATATAAGGATGGTCGGAATAGGAGCTGTATCGAGAAAGTTATGCCTTCAGAATAAATTAGGGTTTAAGGGTAAACCCTAGTACATGGGGCGTACCAAGGGAGTATGCGGAGCGTACTTGTGCGAGGGGGACCACACCTTGCGTAAGGGAGTGTACGCTTAGCGTACTTTGGAGAAGAGATCAGGGTGCGAGACCTCGTACACTGGTAGTACTAATAAGCAAATAATTAGTTTTAAAAATTAAAACTCAACCTGATACGATTTCTAAATTGCTCTAAATTGATACGACTTAAAATTAAATTAAGTTAGGCGCCGCACCTATTCGTTCACGTTACTGATACCACTCCCCGGACCCCGGGTTTATAAAGAAAATGTGGCAGCTGTTTAACACGCCCTATGGCAAGCGCGTAGATTAATGTGTGGAAGAATCTTTTGTCTGATACCTAAAAGAAAACTTAACCATGTCAACAAATTTCAATATCTCAATAATACGCCTCTTTTTATGTCTATGTGCTGGTTTTGACCCCTCCCCTTCTAGGTGTCTTGTTGATATATCCCAAAAATGTTAAAACTTTTCTTCATTGAAATCAAGTACATCACTATATTATCGGAACATTCTTACTAAATTATTAAGCAATTAGTAAATTCGACGGTCTAACTGAAAAATAATTGATAACTGAAAAATTAGCTAATAAATAAAAAATAATTGCTAGGTGATTAAAAAATATTTAATAAGACTAACTTATAAATTAGGTGTAATATGTCAAATAACATAAGAGAACAGATAAATAATTGAGTTTTTTTTAATTAATAAAAGATGTATTTTGGCTTGACAAACATAAAAACTAAAAAGCTCAAAAATTAAGTTAATTTATAACCTAGACGTGACGTTAAAAAAACACAGCCTTAGCTGTAAATATATGTATTTTTCTATTAAAGGTTCTCAATTCAAATATAACAGCTTCGTAAAAAAGCGTTAATCTTTTTATTTTATTAAATAAGACTTTCAAATATATTGTATTAGTGGAAAAGATCCATATATCTTTAGTCTGAAATGCCTAATGCTTTAAAACTAATCTTTCTTTTTTCAAGAATTAAATATTTTTTTTATTTATTCTAAAAATTGCACATAGCCAGAGTTATCAGATTTGGCCATGTATTAACATATATGCCAAATAATCTTCTTACTATCGACACAGTCTTCCAAATTACTGAACAATCTGTAATGTAAAAATGAACCCTAGGAAAATTTTTGGAAAGCATTTTAAAAACATGATTTGAAAGAAACTGACGATTCTATTTTAAAAAAATATAGGGTTATTTATGTAAACATAGATAAAGTTAAGGGTTCAATTACACCATGCCTTTTGCGTTCAAATTACAGTCAAAGCTTCTCGACCCGAACCTCCTTTCACACGGGTTACATAACCACAGTTTCGTCTATTATTGTGCCTGCCCTTTGCAACAGACTCTGTGTATTGTATAAATATAGATCCATCGATTGATCGATTATCATCCTTCAGAATTAAGCAACAATCAGTTTTCAGTAGACGATTTCATCTCTCTTTGAATCAATCATCTTGATCATGGCCGAAAACGCTGTTCCTGTTACTACTCAACCAGAGGTTCGTCTTTTCTAATTTTTAATTATTCTCTATCACTGATTTTAGTCTGCATGTTTGATTTGTTGTTTCGATTGATCTGCTGTGTAAGAAGGTAGAACATATTAATTGATAATCGTAACCTAGGGCCAAAGCGAAGCCGATTCGCTGAAATTTATTATTAATAATTCAAAATCGAGAGAAATTGTTGTGATCGTTTGAAAATCGATAACAAACCTAAATAACGAACACGCGAAGATGTGAATCTGCTGAAATTATCTTGATACTAATTTTTCCTAATTTGAATTGTATGAAACGATATCTTCTTTATCTCAAACACATCTTCCTTTCTCCAATTCTAGTAAGATCGATCCTTCAAAACTCAGTAGGATAACGGAATAGAACACTTTAATTGCATGCAAGAAAGATAGATGTTAATACGATGAACATATTCATGAGAAAGAAAGATGAGAAGATAATCGACTATAACACTGCTAATTTCATATACTGTTCAAATCTACTTACTTATTTGATAATTGATAATGGATTATGGTTTCTTGTTTTTCAGATCGAACAAGAGAGGTTGAAATACCTTGAATTTGTTCAAGTTGCAGTGTTCCATGCAGTAGTTTATGCATCAAGAGTCTATGGTTACGCTAAAGACAACTCTGGCCCTCTAAAACCTGGTGTGGAGACAATCGAAGGTACCCTCAAGACTGTTGTTGGCCCTGCTTATGTCAAGTTCCATGATGTCCCTGTTGAGGTCCTCAAGTTTGTTGATCGTAAGGTCAGTTTTTCTCCTTTTTCTCTTTTCTCTTTAATTTTTCATTTTTTTTTATTAAAGTATTCTTAAGGTATAAAAGTACATTGCAATTTCTTGCTTTTCAGGTTGATGAGTCAGTGACCATAATCGACAGCCGTGTGCCTCCTTTGTTGAAGGAGGTGAAGACCGCCGGAGTGGTGGAGACCGCCTCAGGGTTAGCCAAAACCGCCTACACGAAGCTGGAGCCGACCGCTAAAGGGCTTTATGTAAAATACGAACCGGTTGCAGAGCAATATGCTGCATCAGCTTGGCACTCTTTGAATCAGCTTCCACTCTTCTTTAAAGTGGCTAATGTGGTTGTACCTAAAGCAGCTTATTATTCTGAAAAGTACAACCAAACTGTGCAGCAAACAGCTGAGAAAGGGTACAAGGTTTCTTCTTATCTGCCATTGGTGCCCACTGAGAGGATTGCTAAGGTGTTTAACTCTACTGCTGCTTGAGTGTGTGGTGTGGATGTTATGGTGATGTGGTTTGGTTTGATGTTTGAAGATGGATGATGGATGATGAAAATGTTTGCTTTTTTTTTTTTTTTTTTTTTTTTTTGTGGTGTTTTACTTGACATTTGTTTTGGATTGATGTAGTCATGAAGAATGGGGATTTGGTTGATGTGTACAGTTTAAGGTTTGGGAGTATGTTGTTGTTTTTGGTTTATGAAGTTTCATCTATATCTTCTTCTCAAAAGAATATGCTTTTTTTTTTTGTTAGGTTTCATGATGAGCAACAAATATGCAAGATAATATTGTTTAATGTAAGAGTTGAAAGAAGTGGAATATCTAGTAGGCAGTTAGTCATGTCGGTCTTTAATGGATATGTTGAACTCTGCAATCGAAAAATAGAAGTTCTTTGCAATGGGTATGAAATTTAGTTTCTTAAATGATTTTCTTTAAATATGTTTCATTGAAGCCTCGTAAAGTTCTATGTATTTTAGAGAAAAAAATTGTAGAATTGTATGAAAAGTAGTGTAAAGTTCTACGTATTTTAGAGAAAAAAAATTGTAGAATTATATGAAAAGTAGAGCGTTGATTTGACAAATCTAGTGTTGTGAATGTATTTGACAAATCTAGAGTTTAATATGTTGTGAATGTTTTATAGACGGAACAATGATTTGAGGTATATTTAGAAAAAAATATGTTTTATAGACGGAACAATTAATTAGAGGTATATTTAGAAAAAAATATTTAAAATATTTTGGAAAACTAGTCTAATAAGCTACTTTTCTTTTGCCGAACATATATTCTTAAGAAAGATCGAAAAATAATAAGTTAGCTTATCGGTTATTATGACACGCCAAACACATTTTAGATGTTTCTTTTAAGAGGCATAAGCACATAACTTCAATGTAAAAATTTTCCCTGAACAAAATTTACATGGCTTTGATTAATCGTTAGTGTGGAAATTAAGCTTCCTATCACCACAGTCAAAAGCATCCTGCATAACTGTCGTATGACTTTCTCTTAGGCTTTGAAATCAACCTTTTCCAAGATAGTTGCTTATCCCGGGTCTGTTGAAGCGTGGGTTATATTGTTGAGTCTTCCTAGGTGCACTCTTCAGCCCAAGAATAGGCAAGAAGGTAGGTCTGAGAAAAGGAAGTCCTTGCAACATTGTAATATCCTAAGCGCATTAGCTACTTGGGGTACCGAAGACGATATAACCAAACTTGTTAAAAACTTGGTTGACAATGCAAGGCTGGAGCAACAAGGCAAAAAAGAAGGGTGCATTCAAGAGGAAAGAACAACGGGCCACACTAATGTCGTGCAATGTCTCCGTAAGGTTGCAGATGGGCATTTCACAACAGCAGTGAAAGTATTATGTTCCTCGGGAGTTGCTCCATACAAGGATGATACTACAAAGGCATTAGATGATAAGCATCCATACAAGCCACCACCATCCATGTCGAGTACCATATTTTCAGTACCTCCCTTTGTAGTGGATATTGAGAATGTCCTTGGGGCATTAAATCATTCCTTAAAGGAACCTTGTGTGGGAGAAACGGGTTGAGAGCTCAACTATTTTGGATCCTCTTTGTGGAGAAGGTTCAACTATAGCCAAAGACATCATATGTACTATTACATTTATGGTTAATCTATGGCTAGGGGGAAGATGCCCTTCGAATTTGGCATAATTTGTTGTCTCTGTTCCTCTTAAACTGCTCTTAAAACCTTACAAGGGAATACGACCTATTACAGTAGGAACTATATGGAGACGCTTGGTTTCCAAGTTGGCTATGAAAGGTGTTGGTAAAGAAATGGCCAAGTATCTCAATGATTTCAGTTTGGGGTCGGGGTGTCAGGTGGTGCTGAAGTCGTATTACATAGCGCCAACAGGGTGTTGAGTGAGCACCACAATGACGAGCCTCTTTCCATGCTTACCATGAACTTCTCTAATTCCTTTAACCTTGTGGACAGATCTGCGTTACTTCAGGAGGTCAGATTGAGGTGCCATTCTATATCCTTGTGGGTAGAATTCCTATATGGTCAAACAGCAAGATTGTATCTAAGAGACACACATATGTGGTCCACTATTGGGGTTCAACAAGGAGACTCCTTGGGACCACTGCTATTTGCCCTTGTACTGCACCCGCTCTTGCATAATATTAGAGATAGTTGCAAGATATTTCTCCATGCATGGTACCTTGATAATGGCACACATATTGGAGATTTGGAGGAGGTAGCCAAAGCGTTGGACATCATTAAGGTGATTAGTCTAAAATTGGGCCTTCAGTTGAATATCAAGAAAACCGAGCTCTTTTGGCCCTCGTGTGATGGTAGGAAGCTTCGTGAGGGTCTATTCCCGGTTGGCATCGGGAGCTCGCCATTGGGGGTGAAACTTATTGGGGGAGCTGTTAGTAGAGATGCTAGTTTCATTAGCAGCTTAGCCATAAAGAGAGCCGAAAACGTTGTGAATTTGATGTGCCTTCTTCCCTAATTGTTTGACCCCCAGAGTGAGCTCCTTCTGCTTCGGTCTTATATGGATATTGCTAAACTTTTCTTTGGGCTAAGGACATGCCAACCCGTTCACATGGAGGAGGCAGCGTTGTTCTTTGACAATGGGTTGCACAGGGCGATTGAGGACATTGTGGTTTGTGGTGGCCCTTTCTTTGACGGCATACAGTGACGAATTGCCTCCCTACCCATTAGGTTTGGTGGTTTGGGTCTGTACTCGGCAATAGAGGCTTCCTCATATTCTTTTGTTGCCTCAAGGGCCCACTATTGGGTGTTGCAAGACCACATCTTACGGGATGCGACATATGTGGTATGGATTTTGATTATGCTTGTGCCTTGGCTTCTCTTCGTAACAAGCTTCCAGAAATAAAACTTAGAACTTTTACCACTAAGGACACGCCCCCTCTTAATCCCAGAATACACTGATGAGTGGCCTTTTTAGTAAAATTGTCTGAGATATGGAAGTGCATTTCAATATGACAACTCGATATAAAGCAGTTTTCCAGTGTTTACGTGCACCACATGCTCAAGATTTTCATCTAGCTATCTCTATAGATGGGTTTGGCCAACATATGTCTCATGTGGAGTATCGTACTATCCTTAAATATTGGGTTATGATCCCAATATTTTCATATGACGAGATATGCCCGGTGTGCCGTAAGGCATGTTTGGACTCTTTTGGAGAGCATGTAATTCACTGTAAAGAACTCCCTGGGTTCAAATAAAGATACAATATGGTTATAGATGTTTTGTTAGACATATTTACGTGTATTGAGGTTTCTGTCAAGAGAGAGATGCTTATGAATTTCTTGAGTTACCCGACAAAAGAAAGGTCAACCCTTAGACCGACTAACATTTTAATTTATGGATGGGTTAGAGGGAAACACGCATGTGTGGACCTTACAGGGATATCCCCTCTCGTGGGCTTGACGGCTGAGAGTTTGAACGCAGGACAATGTTAAAAAATTAGCAATGACTATATCCTAATGATTGGCAATTTTTAAATGTGATACTAAAAATATAGAAATATAATAATAATCCAAATAGTAAATTATAAAAATCGTCTCTATGGCGGTGAATAATCATCTAACTTATGTGATTATGTATGAATTGACGCATTAGAGTTAGATTATGATGAATTAGGCATGTATCAGGGCATGTACACAATTAAAATATAAGTATTCTCCAAACATATGAATAATCCATAAACATTCAGAATAAATCTCCAGTGGATGCGGTGCGATCAAGCCGGACCCTTCCTTTCGAAACCAGGAGTACCTGAAAACTGTAAGCACAAAGCTTAGTGAGTTCCCCAAAATACTCCATACCATACATACATAACAGTACAAAACTAAACTGTGTCTATTTCACTCCCTCCGGCCTCTTTCAACCGGTACTGGGTCTATTTCACCCCCTTCGATCTCTTTTAACCGGTACTGGGTCTATTTCATCCTCTTCAGTCTCTTTCAACTGGTATTGCGTCTATTTCACCCTCTTCGGTCTCTTTCAACCAGTACTGGGTCTATTTTACCCCCTTTGGTGTCTTTCAACTGGTATTGGGTCTACTTTACCCCTACAACTAAGCATACAATCATATCAGCAAGAGTCACAAAGGCAATAAGCACATACATGCATAACAGTAAGTGTCACAAAGACAATTATCATCCTACAAACATAATCCAGTGGGCCGACATTGGTGCCTTCGACCCACAAGTACAGTGAAGAAACTCACCTGAACAATTCAACAGAAGCCCAACAGCTACATCAGCAACATACATGTAACCAAAGCTTCCTAATGCCAAACTGAGACCAGACCTTAGCTAAATACTCAATTCTACCCAAGTTTGACCAAAAGTCAAACTAGTCAAAAAGTCAACGGTTAAAGTTGACTAAGTCGTCAATAATATATCTTCATTTCACTATCGATCTAGGAATGATTGACTCTAAAAGTCAAACACGATTACCAGATATTCCTACGTGGCCAATAATAAATACCATAAATGTCTCAACTGCTTGGATATACGTATTTCACTTTCAACCATTCAATATAGGCTAGGCTTTAGATAAATTTACTTATCTAAAATTACTCATCTCGACAAAATAGTAAACTTAATTTTATTCTCGTTACGATACTATTCGCAAAATCTTGTTATTATTTATACCTAAAAATTCATATTTGGTTTAATTAAACAAGTTCACATCTTTATAGCCTGATTAATAAAGGTTGAGGTTCAAACCTCCTAAAATATATACTAAATCTCGTTTGAATTGCTATTCCACAGATCGAAGCCCAACCATTGTTTCTCTTGTCATAACCCAAAAAATGTGAGCCTAACTAACAAAGCCCATAAGAAACAACTAAAACCCTAATATGCTATCTAAGAGGCAAGGGTAAAATTGTCAAACGCTTACCTCACCATCCAAGCACGCCCAACATCTTGGAACCAACCACCATCAACAACCAATACACCTCAGACGATTGCATCCTTCCAATGTCGCCCTCTTCTCTGGCGGTAACATTCACTTCCAGCACAAACTTCTACTCCAGCGCTGGCGGGCGGTCTTCTTCCCTGATGACGAAAC